GCAATTTAACTCTACCATGCATAAAATAACACAGCATAAAATAACACGTTCGTGTCATTCAAATGTTATTGTGCCCTCAAGAGCAGGAACAATGCGTTGCCAGCTGATGATCTGTGCGGTTCTCGGATTATTCCTAACATTCCACATCAAAATTAACGTAAATACATGGATAATACTAGAAAAGTGGACAATATTAAACCAAGTTTTCAGGATGCCGTCGTCTTCAAGTTTACAAACTTCGTCTGCGAGAGTTACAACCAATCCTGGTTCGTGTTCCACAACTATCGTCTGAAGGCCGTCAGTCGCAACAAAGTGCTTCTCAATATGAATGGTACGGTACTACATCCGGTCCACAATATTTCAATTCATGTCAGAATGTTAAAAAAGGCAAACGGCTACAAGCCTTGGCTCTTCGATATTTACTTTGATGCCTGTCAGTACTTGATAAAACGGAATCAACCTTTTGTTAAGATAGTCTATGGGCTCTTCAAAGAGTTTACTAACATAAACCACTCATGCCCCTACGTGGTAAGATTATACGTCTATGTATAACCACTTGTACATCTGAAATGTATATTGCAGGGTCCACAGATTGTCAAGGACTTTTATCTAAGACCTGAGCTACTGCGTCTTCCCTTTCCAACAGGGGATTATTTATTGGCGCTTCAGTGGTACTTCGATAAGAAGCTACAGTTTGATACGAACGTTAGTTTTACATTCGTGGAAGATTTAATGAAGAGAAATTAGTGGGAATCACCTGAATACAGATTCAGTGGATTCCTGAAAACAACAGTAGCAAATGTATTGTACCGATTAATCAAATATATGTATGGGCTAATCCGTGATATTTGACTGAACGCTGTATGAAACGAAAGGGAAATAGCAACGGAAATTGAAAAGGGAAACGGTTAGGATGCAACGTAAACCTTTCGCATGCGGTCCACGCTGAGCGTCTGTGTTCTTTTCGGATTGTTCCTGGCATCCAACTTCAGCTACAACCTCTATATTTGAGATTGGAACTATTACGGCGCGATAAAAAGTATTCTCTATAATACATACAATTTTCTCCGGAAGTAATTTAAGCCAACTGAGTTGTGGCATTTATTCATGCGGCAAAATATATATTTTGATATAGGGTACTCAAATAGTATAGAGGTATCTCAGATTCGTATAGATGTCCACACATATGTATATACATATATGCAATGACTGCATCTTACAAGTGGCGATGCAATTACTGCACCGTCAAGTGGCCCGTGTGACACCAGCAGCGGGCTGTTACGCGCGGATCCCAGGCAAAACGCAGCCCTCCTCCCACCCACGCGCGGTGCGTAGCCGAACCAAACGCGTACATGCAGGAATGACTAATATTCGAGGAAAATTAGCAGTACACTTACTAAGAAACTAAGCATGCACTCAAAATACAAATACCAATACGACTACAATTACTAGAAATTACTAGAAAGGTGTGTGAGGATTAGTATCTTAATGAGAGGAAGAGAAGAAGAGTCGTGGTGTACTTTGTACTGAGGGAACCATACACAGGAGCCGAATTCTAAAATCGCACAAACTAGCGAGATATAGAGAGTCTTTGTCGTCAAGTCCTTTGAACACCTCTTTATAAACCCAAGCCCATGGTCTTATTTACCATGGTAGAAATGTTTTCAGAAAACTTTAGCTTGCCGTCTTATAGAACACCAAGATCATCCACCATCTTTGGTAAACCAAGGGGGCTTTCCAGATCTAATCGGACAAAAAAGCGGGGCCTAAGAACTAAAAAAATTTACAATGAAACAAGAGAGGATCTGGTGTATTCTCCTCATCTATGCTATTGAGCTCCTGCAGAAAGCGTGGTGTGAGAGCGAAGAGCCCAGTATATCAAGTGTGTAAAAGGGGAAGGATGGCAACCCTGGTCATTCTGACAGCTAGTCAGAATTGAAGAGAAGAACGACACACATGTGATTTAGAAGAAGAAGATGTGCAGAAGATCGGATATCTTTATAACTATAGGTTATTAGTGTTCAATCAGCGTTTAGAGTAATTTAAGCAATTTAACTCTACCATGCATAAATGAACACAGCATAAAAGAACACGTTCGTGTCATTCAAATGTTATTGTGCCCTCAAGAGCAGGAACAATGCGTTGCCAGCTGATTATCTGTGCGCTTCTCGGATTATTCCTAACATTCCACATTAATATAAACGTAAATATATGGATAATACTAGTAAAGTGGACAATATTGAACCAAGTTTTCAGGATGCCGTCGTCTTCAAGTTTACAAACTTCGTCTGCGAGAGTTACAACCAATCTTGGTATGTGTTCCACAACTATCGTCTGAAGGCCGTCAGTCGAAACAAAGTGCTCCTCAATATGAATAGTACGGTACTACATCCGGTCAACAATGCATCAGTTCATGTCAGAATTTTCAAAAGGGCCAACGGCTATAAGCCTTGGCTCGTCGATAATTACTTTGATGTCTGTCAGTATTTGAGAAAGCCGAATCATCCTATTGCTAATATAATCTATGGGCTCTTCAAAGATTTTAGTAACTTAAACCACTCATGCCCCTACGTGGTAAGATGATACGTCTATGTCTAACCACTTGTATATCTGAAATTTATATTGCAGGGTCCACAGATTGTCAAGGACCTTTATCTAAGACCTGAGCTACTGCGTCTTCCCTTTCCAACAGGGGATTATTTATTGGCGCTTCAGTGGTACTTCGATAAGAAACCACAGGCTGATTCGAACGTTAGTTTTACATTCGTGGAAGATTTAATGAAGAGAAATTAGTGGGAATCACCTGAATACAGATTCAGTGGATTCCTGAAAACAACAGTAGCAAATTTATTGTACCGATTAATCAAATATATGTATGGGCTAATCCGTGATATTTGACTGATCGGTGTATGAAACGAAAGGGAAATAGCAACGGAAATTGAAAAGGGAAACGGTTAGGATGCAACGCAAACCTTTCGGATGCGGTCCACGCTGAGCGTCTGTGTTCTTTTCGGATTGTTCCTAGCATCAAACTTCAGCTACCACCTCTATACTTGAGATTGGAACTATTACGCCGCGATAAAAAGTATTCTCTATAATACATACAATTTTCTCCGGAAGTAATTTGAGCAAACTGAGTTTTGAATAATTTTCAACATTTATTGCTTTCATTCATGCGGCAAAATATATATTTTGTTATTGAGCTCCTACAGAGAGCGTGCTGTGAGAGCTCTCGGCCGAGTATGTCAAGTGTGTAAAAGGGGAAGGATGGCAACCCTGACCTTCTTGATCAGCATCAAGAGGTGAGTCGATATAGCCTTTCTGTCTGTCAATCTTCAAAGACGCAAAGCGGAAGCGTGAACCATAGCCGACACACGGGGATTTCTGCTTTAGTAGCCATCGAAAATGTCCCTACGCGAATGGAATCTTCAGGGTTTCCTGAAATTGAGATAAGGGAACGAGCATCGAAAACTTTCCACTTTTCCTTTCCACCACAACTGTTGCCATCCGGCCTACAATATATAGCCAGATCTTCAGAAGAACAAATGGATGTATGTAAGCCTTGGATGAATGAGTATTTTGGAAAGCCAAATCGACCATTTGATTACATAGCCTAGGGGTTATTTAAAGAATTTAGAAACTTTAACCTTTCGTGTTCGTATCTGGTAAGATAGCCGAGTACTTTCCATTTCAGTTCACTTTTGTAAGAATTTCTAGCTGAGTTCCCTTTCCAACTGGCGATTATCTATTGAAGATTCAGTGGTGGCTCGATAAAAAGCCACAAAGGCGAAATTAAAGCAAGACTGGATTGTGCAGGAGATCGGATATCTCTATAATTATAGTCTATTAGTGTTCAATCAGCGTTTAGAGTAATTAAACTCTATCATGCGTAAATGGACGAAGCATAAAACAACACGTTAGTGTCATTCAAATATTATTGTGCCCTCAAGAGCAGGAACAATGCGTTGCCAGCTGATGATCTGTGCGGTTCTCGGATTATTCCTAACTTTCCACATCAAAATTAACGTAAATATATGGATAATACTAGTAAAGTGGACAATATTGAACCAAGTTTTCAGGATGCCGTCGTCTTTAAATTTACAAACATCGTCTGCGAGAGTTACAACCAATCCTGGTTCGTGTTCCACAACTATCGTCTGAAGGCCGTCGGTCGAAACAAAGTGCTCCTCAATGTTAATGGGACGATACTACATCCGGTCAACAATGCATCAATTCGTGGCAGAATTTTTAAAAAGGCAAACGGCTATAAGCCTTGGCTCTTCGATATTTACTTTGATGCCTGTCAGTATTTTCTAAAGCGGAATCAACCTGTTGTTAATATAGTTTATAGGCTCTTCAAAGAGTTCACTAGCCTGAACCACTCTTGTCCCTACGTGGTAAGGTTATTCGTCTATGTCTAACCACTTGTACATCTGAAATTTATATTGCAGGGTCCACAGTTTGTCAAGGACCTTTATCTAAGACATGAGCTACTGGGTATTCCCATGCCAACAGGGGATTATTTATTGGCGATTCAGTGGTACTTCGATAAGAAGCTACAGTTTGACACGAACGTTAGTTTTACATTCGTGGAGGATCTAATGAAGAGAAATTAGTGGGAATCACCTGAATATAGATTCAGTAGAATCCTGAAGATCCCTGAAAACAACAGTAGAAAATGTATTGTACCGATTAATCAAATATATGTATGAAACGAAAGGGAAATAGCAACGGAAATTGGGGTCTAGTTTCGGTAAAATAAAATTTGTTTAGCCAAGAACCATTGGGATTACAGTCCACGCTGAACATCTGGCATCAAACTTAAATCCAAACGCAAACAAGTCTTTCATTATTAGTCAAAATTATTGTATAGCTATTAGAACTATTACGCCGCAATAAAAAGTATTGTCTATATTATAATATTCTCCGGAAGTAATTTAAACAAACTTCATAATAATTTGGATAATTATCAGTATTTATTGACTCATTCATGCGGCAAAATATATATAGGTACATATCTCAGATTCGTATTGATTTACATATATTCTTGATCAGCATCAATAGGCGAGTCGATATAGCCTTTCTGTCTGCTTTCTGTGCAGGCCACAGAGCATTTAACAAATTCAATTTGATTTGAAATGACTTTAATTCGATTTCTCGGCTGTTGGCTGTCAGCCGACAATCCTCAGAGAAAAAGATTGCCGCCTGACCAGGCAGTTCCAAGGTGGACGATTTAACGGCTACATTCGGACATTCGCTTTTGCGGTCCATTTGCTATTTGCGATCGAGCGGGGGAATTCGAGAGAATTTCGTTACTTTCCACCGTGTAATATCTCTGTAGCCTCCACACTGAATCTCCGAGATATGTACGCTCATCGAGACGGAAGGACGGATTTATTTCATTAAAATATTATTTTCCAATATTTTTGGATTGTTATCAATGGGAAACTTCTGGGAAACTTTCGGCTGTGATTAAGCAAAAGAATCTGCCCGTTTTATTCCCGGAAGAAGTTAGTTTGGCTCGTATATGTGCTTTGTGGTGTGGCCAGAAACTAGTATCCGTGAATTCCTCCTTGCCACAGTAAGCTGCCGTAACCAGCAGCGCCGCGTCACCGTAGTCTTTCTCGACTACGAATCTATTTTTGAGGCATCCTGGCTGTTAAGTAATTTTTGGAGATTATTACTAAATAGTGGATGCTAGGCACACTTACATCTTCGGGGATGTCAATTATACATCTCATTCTCAACGTGTCATTAGTCAATTTGGTTACAGCTCGCAACGTGCAGCTGGTGCCGGGCGGATATTTTTTGGGAAACCTGAGGGACTCGAAAGCGTAGCCTCCTCCAACCCCAACCTTCGCGTCCACGTCACAGCTCTTTTTACCACTGGCCATCAGGATGGGGAGCATCAAGCAGCTCAATATTCCGAATATGATGTTCATTATCTCAGAGCTTGTTACCAAATGTTTAAGCCAGCCGAGGCCTTCACCAAATATAATGGAATCGAGACAATCGAGAATACAACTTCAAATGCAGCTCCCAACCAGCTGTTTAACCAAAAATCTAAAATAAGCATGCGGAAAACAAGCTACAATCGTGGAGTACGGGATCAACAATCTTATACGTGAATGTGCTTCCTTGTCTCCTGAAGTCTTTTTTAAATCTTAAGAAAATGTTATAATTGCTTTCTGTACAGACAACAGAGCATATAACAGGCCGCAAAACAAGTTCAATTCCATTTGAAATGACTTTAATTTGTGTAATTTGCTTTAGCATGTTCATTTACATTTCGAATAGGCGCTTTCTCGCTTGAGGGAGTGACACTTAATGGTGTCCCTGTTTCTCGGCCTCGATCTGCTCCTTGGACTTGTAGCCGACCTGCTCCTCGGGGGTGTGAGGCCAGAAGGTTGGTCTGTTGATGGGGTCCAGGGCGCTGTCGGGGAATGCATCACGGTAGTCCTCCATGGTCATCTGGTCGTATGGCAGCAGCGACTTCAGATGGGCGATCTCCTTCTGGTAGTTCTGGATGCGCTGCTCCGAGACCTTCTTGTAAGAAGCAATTTCCGACTGCGACTCCTTGATCTGGGCGTCCACCTGGGGGGAAACAGTGTCCTTGGGATAAGGCACGGTCAGAGCATCGTACTGCTTCTGGAAGCCATCGACCAGGCCGGCCACAGGCACCAGCTTCTTGTAGTAGGCCCAATCAATCTTTGGTGGGCACTCGGGATTGGCCATCACGGCGCGCACATAGATGTCCGACTTGGTCTTGAAGGCGCCGAAGCTGGTCTTCTGATTGGCGGGCACACGCTCGGCCAGAGCAGACCAGTTTATCGAGGATTGGGTGATGCGGCGAGCGGCCATTCTGTAGCACAAATACTGAAAAAACCAACAAAAACACAAAACTGATGAGGTTAGGTTCTCAAAGTGGAAATGAAAAAGCAATGCCAAGACGAGATTCCATAAATATATATATTTCCTGTGGATTGTGATGTTAGAGTCCCATCTTCTGCATTATATATTATGCTGTTTCCATTCCACTGAAAATTATGCGTGCAAAAATTATGTAATTTTGTTGCAGCAGCCACCCTCCAAATTGTGAAGGTGGGCAAAGTGTGCATTCTTTTGGGTTCCTCCACAATTGGCTAGCCATTTAGTTTAGTTATGTCTTGTTGCACATTACTTCAGTGGATAGTTATTAGATAGTTATTTCCAACGTACTTAAATTACGGAGAATTAAGAATTTCTATGCCTCTGCACCAACACTTACACTTTTGAGCAGTGTGACTAGCCCTCAGAAATATAGCAAAATATACCGTCTCATTTAAAAAATATACCGTAAATATACTGACGATTTCAAGTTCCATTTTATATATTCCTCGTTTTTGATATTCCGTGGAATGTTACCAGCTATATAAAACATTTGGCCATGCCCACATAGTTTTATACGATTAATGAATCTATTTTCTACTTTTGATTTATTTTAAACACTTGCTTTTATTGCATTTTGCGTAAAAAAAGGTCTTAGCAAAAATGGTCAAACAAAAAAAAAACAGTCGCAATGTTGCTGGTATTTGAAGACGTGATGCGTGTATAGGCCTTTGTATACCCTATTTCGTTAATTTTATATGAACATAAAACGTAATTTATAAAGACCTTTTCTCAAATTGATATTCTTTAGACATATTCATGTACATTATTTGTATCTTGTGTATATTTATCTTGATCCTGATACCTACGGAGCCTTGCATGACAAACATTTTCTCAACTCTATAACACCCTTTTCCCTAGGGTATGAAAATTAGTGGCCATGGATCCTATAGATGGTCTCACAGCGCTGGTTCCCAGATTGCGGTCACACTATCAGCTGTTATGAATAACATAACTTGCATGTGGATTTTAATTTGAACTTCTATTGTTTTTACTCGTGGTAATATCAATAAGAATGCTGTTAAAACAGTTGCCCCAGGCCGTGAAACAGCTGCGCTGCATTTCCTCAGCCACGACAGCGGTTACCAGGCTGCATCGCTCCGTCTACTGCCGCCTGTATCCTACAGTGGTGGTCCAGCCGGACGGATCCACCATTAATATCCGCTATCACGAGCCACGCAAAATCATCAAGGTAGGTGAAAAATCATGAGCTAAATAAAATTAATTGGATTCCTCTGCTCGTTTAGTTGCCTTTGGATTTGACCACTTTGTCGGACGCCGAGCGAAAGTCCCGCCTGGAGGCGCGTAAGCCGCGCAAGAAGGTCAGGATTATGGAGGAGGTGGACGACAACTTCAATGCCAAAAAGTACATGAAGTATATCAAGAAAAAGTAGTCTTTCTGCTTAAATGTTACAACTATAGATAATAAAACTTATAAATTTTGTTACATAAGTCTGGCAGCTCACATTGCGTTGCACGGAGCTGCCACATCCGAAATTAAAGGTCACAAAAGACTTGTTCCATTATTTGAATGTGAGATGTTTTCTAACGGCTATAACATGTGATGACTAACGGCCAAAGTGGACAATACTGAACCATGGATGGATATGTAAGCCTTGGATAAGAAACAATAACTTTGATGCCTGTCAGTATTTTGGAAAGCCAAATCGACCCTTTGTTTACTTAGCCTAGGGGTTATTTAATGAATTTAGAAACTTTAACCTTTCGTGTTCGTATCTGGTAAGAAAGCCGAGTACTTTCCATTTCAGTTCACTTTTGTAAGAATTTCTAGCTGAGTTCCCTTTCCAACTGGCGATTATCTATTGAAGATTCAGTGGTGCTTCGATAAAAAGCCACAAAGGCGAAATTAAAGCAAGACTGGATTGTGCAGGAGATCGGATATCTCTATAATTATAGTCTATTAGTGTTCAATCAGCGTTTAGAGTAATTAAACTCTATCATGCGTAAATGGACGAAGCATAAAACAACACGTTAGTGTCATTCAAATATTATTGTGCCCTCAAGAGCAGGAACAATGCGTTGCCAGCTGATGATCTGTGCGGTTCTCGGATTATTCCTAACTTTCCACATCAAAATTAACGTAAATATATGGATAATACTAGTAAAGTGGACAATATTGAACCAAGTTTTCAGGATGCCGTCGTCTTCAAGTTTACAAACTTCGTCTGCGAGAGTTACAATCAATCCTGGTTCGTGTTCCACAACTATCGTCTGAAGGCCGTCAGTCGCAACAAAGTGCTTCTCAATATGAATGGTACGGTACTACATCCGGTCAACAATATTTCAATTCATGTCAGAATGTTAAAAAAGGCAAACGGCTACAAGCCCTGGCTTTTCGATATTTATTTTGATGGCTGTCAGTATTTTTTCAAGCGGAATCAACCTGTTTTTAATATAATTTATGGGCTCTTCAAAGAGTTTACTAACATAAACCACTCATGCCCCTACGTGGTAAGATTATACGTCTATGTCTAACCACTTGTACATCTGAAATTTATATTGCAGGGTCCACAGATTGTCAAGGACTTTTATCTAAGACCTGAGCTACTGCGTCTTCCCTTTCCAACAGGGGATTATTTATTGGCGCTTCAGTGGTACTTCGATAAGAAGCTACAGTTTGATACGAACGTTAGTTTTACATTCGTGGAAGATTTAATGAAGAGAAATTAGTGGGAATCACCTGAATACAGATTCAGTAGAATCCTGAAGATCCATGAAAACAACAGTAGAAAATGTATTGTACCGATTTATCAAATATATGTATGGGCTAATCCGTGATATTTGACTGATCGGTGTATGAAACGAAAGGGAAATAGCAACGGAAATTGAATAGGGAAACGGTTAGGATGCAACGTAAACCTTTCGGATGCGGTCCACGCTGAGCGTCTGTGTTCTTTTCGGATTGTTCCTGGCATCCAACTTCAGCTACAACCTCTATATTTGAGATTGGAACTATTACGGCGCGATAAAAAGTATTCTCTATAATACATACAATTTTCTCCGGAAGTAATTTAAGCCAACTGAGTTGTGGCATTTATTCATGCGGCAAAATATATATTTTGATATAGGGTACTCGAATAGTATAGTGGTATATCAGTTTCGTATAGATGTCCACACATATGTATATACATATATGCAATGACTGCATCTTACAAGTGGCGATGCAATTACTGCACCGTCAAGTGGCCCGTGTGACACCAGCAGCGGGCTGTTACGCGCGGATCCCAGGCAAAACGCAGCCCTCCTCCCACCCACGCGCGGTGCGTAGCCGAACCAAACGCGTACATGCAGGAAAGACTAATATTCGAGGAAAATTAGCAGTACACTTACTAAGAAACTAAGCATGCACTCAAAATACAAATACCAATACGACTACAATTACTAGAAATTACTAGAAAGGTGTGTGAGGATTAGTATCTTAATGAGAGGAAGAGAAGAAGAGTCGTGGTGTACTTTGTACTGAGGGAACCATACACAGGAGCCGAATTCTAAAATCGCACAAACTAGCGAGATATAGAGAGTCTTTGTCGTCAAGTCCTTTGAACACCTCTTTATAAACCCAAGCCCATGGTCTTATTTACCATGGTAGAAATGTTTTCAGAAAACTTTAGCTTGCCGTCTTATAGAACACCAAGATCATCCACCATCTTTGGTAAACCAAGGGGGCTTTCCAGATCTAATCGGACAAAAAAGCGGGGCCTAAGAACTAAAAAAATTTACAATGAAACAAGAGAGGATCTGGTGTATTCTCCTCATCTATGCTATTGAGCTCCTGCAGAAAGCGTGGTGTGAGAGCGAAGAGCCCAGTATATCAAGTGCGTAAAAGGGGAAGGATGGCAACCCTGGTCTTTCTGACAGCTAGTCAGAATTGAAGAGAAGAACGACACACATGTGATTTAGAAGAAGAAGATGTGCAGAAGATCGGATATCTTTATAACTATAGGTTATTAGTGTTCAATCAGCGTTTAGAGTAATTTAAGCAATTTAACTCTACCATGCATAAATGAACACAGCATAAAAGAACACGTTCGTGTCATTCAAATGTTATTGTGCCCTCAAGAGCAGGAACAATGCGTTGCCAGCTGATGATCTGTGCGGTTCTCGGATTATTCCTAACTTTCCACATCAAAATTAACGTAAATATATGGATAATACTAGTAAAGTGGACAATATTGAACCAAGTTTTCAGGATGCCGTCGTCTTCAAGTTTACAAACCTCGTCTGCGAGAGTTACAACCAATCCTGGTTCGTGTTCCACAACTATCGTCTGAAGGCCGTCAGTCGAAACAAAGTGCTCCTCAATATTAATGGGACGGTACTTCATCCGGTCAACAATTCATCAGTTCATGTCAGAATTTTCAAAAGGGCCAACGGCTATAAGCCTTGGGTCGTCGATAATTACTTTGATGTCTGTCAGTATTTGAGAAAGCGGAATCATCCTATTGGTAATATAATCTATGGGCTCTTCAAAGATTTTAGTAACTTAAACCACTCATGCCCCTACGTGGTAAGATTATGCGTCTATGTCTTACCACTTGTACATCTGAAATTTATATTGCAGGGTCCACAGATTATCAAGGACTTTTATCTAAGACCTGAGCTACTGCGTCTTCCCTTTCCAACAGGGGATTATTTATTGGCGCTTCAGTGGTACTTCGATAAGAGACCACAGGCTGATACGAACGTTAGTTTTACATTCGTGGAGGATTTAATGAAGAGAAATTAGTGGGAATCAACTGAATACAGATTCAGTAGAATCCTGAAGATCCATGAAAACAACAGTAGAAAATGTATTGTACCGATTTATCAAATATATGTATGGGCTAATCCGTGATATTTGACTGATCGGTGTATGAAACGAAAGGGAAATAGCAACGGAAATTGAATAGGGAAACGGTTAGGATGCAACGTAAACCTTTCGGATGCGGTCCACGCTGAGCGTCTGTGTTCTTTTCGGATTGTTCCTGGCATCCAACTTCAGCTACAACCTCTATATTTGAGATTGGAACTATTACGGCGCGATAAAAAGTATTCTCTATAATACATACAATTTTCTCCGGAAGTAATTTAAGCCAACTGAGTTGTGGCATTTATTCATGCGGCAAAATATATATTTTGATATAGGGTACTCGAATAGTATAGTGGTATATCAGTTTCGTATAGATGTCCACACATATGTATATACATATATGCAATGACTGCATCTTACAAGTGGCGATGCAATTACTGCACCGTCAAGTGGCCCGTGTGACACCAGCAGCGGGCTGTTACGCGCGGATCCCAGGCAAAACGCAGCCCTCCTCCCACCCACGCGCGGTGCGTAGCCGAACCAAACGCGTACATGCAGGAATGACTAATATTCGAGGAAAATTGGCAGTACACTTACTAAGAAACTAAGCATGCACTCAAAATACAAATACCAATACGACTACAATTACTAGAAATTACTAGAAAGGTGTGTGAGGATTAGTATCTTAATGAGAGGAAGAGAAGAAGAGTCGTGGTGTACTTTGTACTGAGGGAACCATACACAGGAGCCGAATTCTAAAATCGCACAAACTAGCGAGATATAGAGAGTCTTTGTCGTCAAGTCCTTTGAACACCTCTTTATAAACCCAAGCCCATGGTCTTATTTACCATGGTAGAAATGTTTTCAGAAAACTTTAGCTTGCCGTCTTATAGAACACCAAGATCATCCACCATCTTTGGTAAACCAAGGGGGCTTTCCAGATCTAATCGGACAAAAAAGCGGGGCCTAAGAACTAAAAAAATTTTAAATGGAACAAGAGAGGATCTGGTGTATTCTCCTCATCTATGCTATTGAGCTCCTGCAGAAAGCGTGGTGTGAGAGCGAAGAGCCCAGTATATCAAGTGTGTAAAAGGGGAAGGATGGCAACCCTGGTCATTCTGACAGCTAGTCAGAATTGAAGAGAAGAACGACACACATGTGATTTAGAAGAAGAAGATGTGCTATCTTTATAACTACAGTTTATTAGTGTTCAATCAGCGTTTAGAGTAATTTAAGCAATTTAACTCTACCATGCATAAAATAACACAGCATAAAATAACACGTTCGTGTCATTCAAATGTTATTGTGCCCTCAAGAGCAGGAACAATGCGTTGCCAGCTGATGATCTGTGCGGTTCTCGGATTATTCCTAACATTCCACATCAAAATTAACGTAAATATATGGATAATACTAGTCAAGTGGACAATAGTGAACCAAGTTTTCAGGATGCCGTCGTCTTCAAGTTTACAAACTTCGTCTGCGAGAGTTACAACCAATCCTGGTTCGTGTTTCACAACTATCGTCTGAAGGCCGTCAGTCGCAACAAAGTGCTCCTCAATATGAATAGTACGGTACTACATCCGGTCAACAATGCATCAGTTCATGTCAGAATTTTCAAAAGGGCCAACGGCTATAAGCCTTGGCTCGTCGATAATTACTTTGATGTCTGTCAGTATTTGAGAAAGCCGAATCATCCTATTGCTAATATAATCTATGGGCTCTTCAAAGATTTTAGTAACTTAAACCACTCATGCCCCTACGTGGTAAGATGATACGTCTATGTCTAACCACTTGTATATCTGAAATTTATATTGCAGGGTCCACAGATTGTCAAGGACTTTTATCTAAGACCTGAGCTACTGCGTCTTCCCTTTCCAACAGGGGATTATTTATTGGCGCTTCAGTGGTACTTCGATAAGAAACCACTGGCTGATACGAACGTTAGTTTTACATTCGTGGAGGATTTAATGAAGAGAAATTAGTGGGAATCAACTGAATACAGATTCAGTAGAATCCTGAAGATCCATGAAAACAACAGTAGAAAATGTATTGTACCGATTTATCAAATATATGTATGGGCTAATCCGTGATATTTGACTGAACGCTGTATGAAACGAAAGGGAAATAGCAACCGAAATTGGGGTCTAGTTTCGGTAAAATAAAATCTGTTTAGCCGAGAACCATTTGTTATTTTTGAGCTATAATTATCAGCATTTATTGACTCATTTATGCGGCAATGCGACGCTACAGGCTGCATGCTATTCGAGGTGATAAATTGGAATTTGCATCACCAGCAGCTGTTCTTGCCCTTGGAGTGGCAAACGAAATCAACTGTTGTCTGAGGGACAGTTGGCATTTGCAGATCCCGCGGAGTTACCGTTTTGCGCTTAGGAGACTAATTCAGCAGTTGCAAACGGGATAATTGAGACTGTAGGACTAAGAGCCGATTCTATTGGATTTTGAAGCCAACGGTCAGCTCCTTAAAGCCCTACCGCGTCAGAATCAAAAATGTGACCATGTCCCTTCCAAACACACAGAATGCTTTACAACTGTGATGCAAGCCAATACCCGAACGCGCAGCGCATTTCGCGTGCACTACGCTATCATGTAGAAAAATGATTAATCAATCGGATCAAATGATGTGTTCAGGGCTGAGGTCCTAGCTAGCTAGTAGCATTCAACCACTAACCATACAGTATATAGATGTGCCAGTTCATACAACGAAAGTGTCACACACCGGCTTGCGCTATCCGTACCCCAGAGTGACGTCATCATGAGAGAGAGAGCGCAGAGAGAACATCTTTGCATGTGTTAGTACACACGCAATATGTTTCGACAAAAAGTATGTGATTGTATGTTTTTTCAGATTTTTTGAACTCTCTCAGGTCTGATCTGTTTTGCCACCAGCATGTTTTAGTGTATGGGTGCAC